GGGATGACCGGAGACTGCAGACAGTACAGGGGATGACCGGAGACTGCGGACACAGTACAGGGGATGACCCAGAGACTGCGGACACAGTACAGGGGATGACCAGAGACTGCGGACACAGTACAGGGGATGACCAGAAACTGCGGACACAGTACAGAGGATGACCAGAGACTGCGGACACAGTACAGGGGATGACCAGAGACTGCGGACACAGTACAGGGGATGACCAGAGACTGCGGGACACAGTACAGGGGATGACCAGAGACTGCGGACACAGTACAGGAGATGACCAGAGACTGCGGACACAGTACAGATGACCAGAGACTGCGGGCACAGTACAGGAGATGACCAGAGACTGCGGTCATAGTACAGGGGATGACCAGAGACTGTGGACATATTACAGATGACCAGAGACTGCAGACAGTAAAGGAGATTACCAGAGACTGCGGACCTTTGGGGAGGGAGGGGGAACGGGTACCTGAATTTGACAGGTACCTGCTCCCACTTCTGTGGAGTTGTCCTTCCTTCTTCTTCCCGCGGCGGCTTCTGTGACAGCTGGGTACCCACTGCGCATGTGCAAGAAGCACTGTGCTTTGTGAACGGTCCGGAGCCTTCTGGGATCTGTCATGTGTCCCAGAAGACGCCGGACCATTCACAAAGCGCAGCGCTTCTCGCACATGCGCAGTGGGCACCCGGCTGTCACAGGAGCCGCTGCGGGAAGACTGCAGCGCTGGAGCGAGGAACAGGTAAGGTCCTGCAGGAGAGAAGAGCTGAGCGGCCGGCCCCGATATTCCAACATGGTGGCGGCAGAAATACCGGGCCGGCCGCTTTACATTCGCTCCATAAGACGCACTGACATTTCCCCCCCTTTTTTTGAGGGAAAAAAGTGCATCTTATGGAGCGAAAAATACGGTATTCAAGACTGGATTATATATTGCTGGACCATCAACTTATCGAGTCTCTGGTCAAAGTACAAATAGAAGTGATGTCAATATCGGACCATGCCCGTCACAATGCAATTATTATGGGGAAATGAGCAGATCGGGGGAAATTACGGAGGATAAATGAGACACCTCTCCAGGATTCAGAGGTGGATCAAAGAATAAAAAAAGAAAAAGAGCAATTTTTTGAGGAAAATGATACCGGGGAAGTGTCCGTAGCAACAGTGTTGGAGGCTCATAAGGCCTATATTAGAGGAAGCCTGATAGCGATTGGAGCAAAAAAGAAGAGGGAAAGAAGAGAAAGAGCAATGTCTACAATTGATTGATTTTGAATCCCATGTTGTGAGGCAGCAGAGACAGTCACAAATGTGTTGCTGGATGGAACGTTTTTTGTTTTTTTTTAATGGAAGCTTCAAATGTACAAATCTGATATGTACCCTTATAGTGAATTTGTACTTTTCCCATTTAAAGTATCAGATCCACCAGATGGCCTGAACACATGCTGTTGATATTTTCCTTTCTCATACCCCCCTGGCTGCTTTATTCACATGCTGAATTATTAAAATACCCATTGCTTACAGGTATGGTGGTGAATGTGCCTCTTCACACTTTGTCCCATGACTCAGGGCTGAGTGCCTAAGTAACCAATTGTCTGGACCGAGTGTTGTCACATGGGGATCTGGTGGAGGGCCCTTAGAAGTTATACAGCACAAACTTCAACTTCTGACCTATTATTAATCTATTTTATTTATTTCAGGTGCTTATATAATTATGAATATTTATTTCAGGTGCTTATATAATTTACGCAGCACTTTACATATATATATAGTACATTCACATCAGTCCCTAACCCTCAAGGGGTGTACAATCTAAGGTCCCTAACTTGCATTCATACATACAAATACTAGGGCCAATTTAGACAGGAGCCAATTAACCTACCAGCATGTCTTTGGAGTGTGGGAGGAAACCGGAGCACCCGGAGGAAACCCACGCAAGCACAGGGAGAACCTGCAAACTCCAGGCAGGTGGTGCCATGGTTGGGATTCGAACCAGCGACCTTAGTACTGCCAGGCGGAAATGCTAACCATTTAGCCACTGTGCTGTCCACAGGGCTGAATGCAGGACTAGAGGGGCTGAATGCAATGAATTGTGCAATGCTTTCATAAGAAAGCTACAAAAGCCAACACTGCTGATCTCTATCTCTGCTGATCTTTCACTACAAATAGGTCCCGTTCCACCACTTTGACATATTTATGAATCCCTTGAACAGGTGGTGGACCTCCTCAACTTCAGGGCATGCTTCCAAAAACCTCCCTTCAGCAGCACTTCTTTGTCAGCACATTTCATTGCACACTTTCTTTCCCTTCACAGGGGTTGACTTACTAAAACTGGCGAGTGCAGAATCTGGTGCAGCTGTGCATGGTAGCCAATCAGCATCTAACTTCAGCTTGTTCAGTAAGGGCTCATGTACACTGCAGCTGATAAACTCACGTTTAGGAGCTGTTCTGCGTTTTTTTCAGCAGCCCCTGAACTCTCCCTAATGTTTTCCTATGTGTCCATGTACACATCCTCGTTTTACAGGCATTTGAGTTCACAGTCGTTTTTTTGAACGCAGAAAACTTGCGTTCAGCTGTTGATTTTTATCAGTGTTTCAAACTCAAAATGCTTGTAAGCGCGGCTAAACGTGGCAAATCATGCTTATAAGCGTTTGAACATTGTTTTTAACTCTTCCAGTTCCCCATGCTGTCCAGAGCCTTTTTTCATCATGAAAAAGGGTTTTCAAGGTACTCAGATGAACAAAAACACTGAACACAGGATGTTGCTACCAAGCTTGTCACACATTGTATTGACCAATTCACACCGCAGACCTCTCCCACCCTTGGAAACAAAAGATATGTTAATGACCATTCACACCTCAAATTCCTCATGAAGACCCCCTGCCAGGTGGCCTTAATGACTCCCTCCACCAGACACCTTTCCCACCCTTGGAAACAAAAGAAATGTTAATGAGCAAACTCACACCTAAGCTAATCTCAACACATACTGCTGTCTCTGCTTCTACTCTCTGTATTTCTCTGAAACAGTCTGAAATAGTTAATAATTTACCACTTTTCAGTGCATTCTGGGCATTTGGGAGGTTCTCCTGTGCTTATCTTTAAAAAAAAAACGCTTCTAAACGCAAACGCACATAAACGCGGTATGCAAACGCAGCTAAACAGACATATTTTTACCTACGTTTTCCAGCAGTTTCCATCGTTCAGAAGTGTCCCATGTACATGGGGCCTTAAGCTTCGACAGAAAACCTGGAAGTTCATTGGTTTCTATGCAGAGCTGCACCAGATTTTGCATTCTCTAGTTTTAGTAAATCAACCCTGCAGTATCTCTTTTTGACATAACTCACCAAATGAGGTGCCTATATATTTGTTTTGTTTGTTTTAGTGCAGCAATTTGGTTTAAAAGGGAAAGAGAAACTATACTGCATAGGTTCACTCACACCTACACATCACGTAAACTGCAATTCACACAAGGGCAGAACAAGATGGCCACACCACAAGCTGTCCAGAGGCAGGCCTGGTGGTTCTAGTGCCCAGAATAATAAACCTTACAGCATATTAACCCCTTCATGCCTAAGGGTAAAACAAATCTTAAAGCCAAAGCACAATTTTGCAATTTTGACGTGTTAGCAAAACTGTACATATCATCACAACTACTTTGTGCAAGCAGGTGGATTATACCGCGTTTTTTTTTTTTCAGGACAAATTGGGCTTTCATTAGCTGGGAAATGGTAATGGATATCTCCAGATTTTTTTTATTATCAAAAGGAAAACTGGTCCAAATTAGTAAAAAAAACCCATTTGTTTTAAATTTAGCTGTATATTTCTTACTACTACCATAACCAACCACCACATGACAACCCAAAATAATTTCTCCGATACCACGTGTGTATGTTAGTTGTTGTTATGTTAGTTGTTGTTTGTACTCGTTCTACAGAAACAATAGTGCGCATTTTACTGTTTTTTTTCCCCTGCCACTAATTTAAACATTAAAAAAAATCCTGACAAAAAAAAAAACCTTTTTTGACCCTGACCTTGACCCAAATACTACGCTGGCACTGACCTAGATCAAACTGACCTAGGTATTTTTGTTTATTTTATTATTTTTATTTGTTTATTCTTTAACACACACTTTTTTTCTCTCTGAAAGGATAGAGAGAGAGAGATACAATGTATCTCTCTCTTCCATTCAGGGAGATAAAACAAGCTTCACAGTAACTGATTCAGAGTGACCAATCAGAGGCTATCATAGTGATCATGTGACCCAAAATCGAAAGTTCCAGGTCAGGGGCGGACTGACAACTCCTGGGGCCCCCGAGCAATAGGGGATCATGGGGCCCCTGTGTCCTTGCCCAAACTCAAAAAAGCCTATAAAAAGGTCCCAGGGGCATCTCATGGGGCCCCCTACTGACCCCGGGCCCTCGGGCAGTGCCCGAGTTTGCAAATGGTCAGTCCGCCCCTGTTCCAGGTCCCAATCGTTAGAACGGGACCCGGGGCTCTTACTGACACCCTGGTCTTTGTGCTGGGAGCGCGCAGCACAAAGACAGGTTTGCAAATTAGCAGCCCCACGGAAAAAAGGCCAGGGCGTCAAGGGGTTAATGGTCACATTACTCTCTATGCGACAAAATGGTAGGGTGAGGACATTATTTGGCTGAAAGCAACACTGAAACTGCTGAATATCCCATTAATCAAAACACAATTGAATAGTTCTACATACAGAAAGCAAATATTTATTCAGATGACAAGTGCTAATCTATTGCACTTCATGCCCAGCAAGGCAATGCAAACATAGGGACTGTGGCAGTGAGGATGCTGAATTCTGTCATCCAGATACTGTCTTAACCAGCACCAAACAAGGAGAACAGGACTCAGGGGACATAAATAAATATATAGTGTTACAGGGGCATGAGGGCTTTGGACCAGTGGAATGCAGGAAATGTTAATATATATACATATATAAAAACAAAAAGTGACGTAAACAGCTCCGAGGAAGAGGAAGATTTCCTGTTCATATCTGCGTGAGAGGTAAGAATTTTTGATAGTAGCTCTTAGTCACGTCAATCATCAATTCCTGCGTACACTCTGGGAGTTCACCCGAGAACAGACCTGGAGGGATAAACACAAAGAGAAAATTGGATGGCAGACACTTATTTATCAAACCATTTATCTGAAACAGTTAGATCTGTCTGTCTCTTTTGACTCACAGTGAATAATCAGGAACATGCTTTCCATCTCAAATCTGCTGTAGAAAAATGTCAGCAGGAAATGGAAAGCTGCTCAAAAAGGTTAAATGGACCATTTCCCTCTGGGGATGACAGAAGTCTTCCTTTTATTTAAAAAAAAAAAAAAAAAAAAAATGTAATAAACTGCATTTCTCCACTTGGAAACATTAATAAACTTGCGTTAAGAAGAACACAACAGTCCACATTGTTTGACTGTATTATGCCACGTGTCCCAAATATTCTCAGATTTACCATGGAGCAGGGGCGGACTGACCATTTGGAAGCACGGGCACTGCCGGAGGGCCCGGGGGTCAGTAGGGGGCCCCATGAGATGCCCCTGGTACCTTTTTCATAGGCTTTTTGAGATTGGGCAAGGACACAGGGGCCCCATGATCCTCTATTGCCCGGGGGCCCCATGAGTTATCAGTCCGCCCCTGCCACAGAGTGTGGTCAGCACTCCTGCAGAACGACTTCTAAGATCAATTATTAACGTAGAAAGTCTTTCTCAACAACCTTGCTCTGAGAGGGAGCAGTAAAGCACAAACACTGTACAGCACTACAGAATATGAAGTGCAACCGACATACAGGTTAAGCCTCCATGCACACTAGCATTTTTTTTAAGCTCCTAGAAGCTGTTATTAGCATTTTTATTCTGCTCCTAGAAGCTAAATAGTATTCTCCTATGTGCTCATGTACACTACTTTAGGCTATTAGCATTGTTCGAGCTTCAACGTCCAGGAGCAGAAAAAAAAAATTGTTTTTATAGAATCTTTTGGAGCGTTTTTCCAGCAGCTCCTAAACGCTGCTAAGCACTACTTAACCACTTGTCTACCGGGCACTTATACCCCCTTCTTGCCCAGGCCAATTTTCAGCTTTCAGCGATGTCACACTTTGAAAGACAATTGTGCGGTCATGCAACATTGTACCCATATGAAATTTTTATCATTTTTTTGAGAGGTAGAGCTTTCTTTTGGTGGTATTTAATCACCTCTGAGTTTTTTATTTTTTGCTAAACAAACCAAAAACAACTGAAAATTTTGAATAAAAAAAGTTTTTTTTCTTAGTTTTTGCTATCAAATTTTGTAAATAAGTGATTTTTCTCCTTCACTGATGTGCACTAATGAGGCTGCACTGATGGGCACTGATGAGGAGGTATTGGTAGGTGGCACTAATGGAAATTGACAGGCATCACTGATGGGCACTGAAAGGCAGCACTCACATATGGCATTGATAGGCGTCACTAATAGGTGGCACTGATAGGCAGCACTGAAGGGCACTGATGCGCAATGATAGGTGGCACTGATAGGTGACACTGAAAGGCAGCTCAGATGGACATTGATATGTGGCATTGATATGCACTGGTAGGCACTGATATGTGGCACTGATGGGCACTGGCAGGTGGCATTGATGAGCACTGACAGCTGGCACTGTCAGTTTCCAAATGGTCAGTACATCTGAACTGATCAATTTGCAACTAAATATTTCATAGTTTGTGGACTCTCTCTAACTCTCCTACAGACTGAATATACACTGATTTGGGTTATTTTCACCAAAGAAATGTAGTAGAATACATCTCGGCCTAAATGTATGAAGAACAATTATTTATTTGCAAAATATTATAACAGAAACAAAGAAAAACTTTTTTTTTTTTTTTCAAAAATTTTCAGTCTTTTTTCATTAATTTAGCAAAAAATAAAAAAACCCAGTTCTGATTAAATACCACCAAAAGAAAGCTCTATTTGTGTGAAAAAAATGATAAAAATTTAATTCTGTTACAGTGTTGCATGACCGCACATTTGTTATTCAAATTGAGACAGAGCTGAAAATTGGCCAGGGCAGGAAGGGGGTGAAAGTGTCTGGTACTGAAGCGGTTAATCAACACCTGGCTCCACCTAGTCCCGTCTGCTGCATTCTGGACTGACAGCACAGCCTCTGTTGCTGAAACCTCCCCCTATGAGCTGTTGTGGGTGGGAGGGGGAGTATGTGAGGGTTGCGGGTTGAGTAAAAAAACAAAAATGTTCCGATTCCTCCACCCACACATTCGAGGTTGATGGAGGAATCACTCCTGCTGGGCTATTGGGAGAACACAATGATCAGGGTTGCAGGCTATAGGCAAGGGCATTTATCATTTGGGAAAAAACCCGCCAAAGTGGATCTATAGATCAACTTCTGTAAAACTAGGGTGTGCATACATGGATTGAAATTTGGCTGGTTCCTGCTGAACCGGCTGAATTTCGATCCATGTATGGCCGGCTTCAAGTGGAACTTTACACAACTTAATAAAGAATAATGTTCTTTAACAAGGAACACACATTCCACATTAAAAATGCTACCAAAATGAGTATGTACTGTAAATTTCCTCCAGCACTGTTCCTGTTTGTTCTTGCTGGAGGCTGCCATTTTGCTGAAGCCCAGAGCCCCTGAGCAGCAGTACATCATTAGGCTGTCAGCAGACTGGCCTCTACATTTTCAGCACAGTGCCTAAAAATAAAGAGCAACTGAGCATGTGCACAGCAGGGTGAGTGTATTACTGGATTTTAAACAGTATAGGCACTTGTTTTGTAAAGTTTTATATAGCTGTAAATGTCTGTACAACTTGCGAGACAGTCTGTATCCACCAGCTATTAACCTTTCAAAACCAAGGGAATGGACACTGACCGTCCAAAATATACAGTTGTGACCAAAATTATTCAACCCCCAATGCTGTAAAGGGGTTTAGGGACTATAGTGTACATTTGGAATTGTATTCAGAATCAAATCCTACAAGGACGTTGTAACTACCCAAATGCAACTAAAATGACATCAATTGTTTATGTAATACAGTAGTAAATGGTTCTTATGTGGTTTCTTCATTGCCACAATTATTCAACCCCTTAAAGACTACCACTCTGAAGAACAGAGGTTCATACAGGTGCTTTCCATCAGGTATTGAAAACACCTGTGGATGTCACCGAGCAGCAATCAAGCATAATAAGCACCAATTAGGCAGCTTTAAAATGACTGTGATACTCAGCTCCTTCTAGACATTTACTGGTGTGGTTACAAACATGGTGAAGGCAAGAGAATGGTCCAGGAAGACAAGAGAAGAGGTGATTTCTCTTCACAGGAAGGGCAATGGCTATAAGAAGATTGCAAAGATGTTAAACATACCAAGAGACACCTTAGGAAGCATCATTCGCAAATTCAAGGCAAAGGGCACTGTTGAAACGCTACCTGGTCGTGGCAGAAAGAAGATGCTGACTTCGACTGCTGTGCGCTACCTGAAGCGTAGAGTGGAGAGAAGTCCCCGTGTGACTGCTGAGGAACTGAGAAAAGATTTGTCAGATGTGGGTACAGAAGTTTCAGCCCAGACAATAAGACGCACACTGCGTAATGAAGGCCTCCGTGCCAGAACTCCCAGGCGTACCCCCTTGCTGTCTCCAAAGAATAAGAAGAGTCGACTGCAGTATGCCAAAAGCCATGTGGACAAACCACAAAAGTTGTGGGATAGTGTTCTGTGGACTGATGAAACAAAATTAGAACTGTTTGGGCCCATGGATCAACGCTATGTTTGGAGGAGGAAGAACAAGGCCTATGATGAAAAGAACACCTTGCCTACTGTGAAGCATGGTGGAGGGTCAATCATGCTTTGGGGCTGTTTTGCTTCTGCAGGTACAGGGAAGCTTCAGCGTGTGCAAGGTACCATGAATTCTCTTCAGTACCAGGAGATATTGGATGGAAACGTGATGCAGTCCGTCACACACCTGAGGCTTGGGAGACGTTGGACCTTTCAACAGGACAATGATCCCAAGCATACCTCCAAGTCCACTAGAGCATGGTTGCAGAGGAAAGGCTGGAACATTTTGGAGTGGCCATCGCAGTCACCAGACTTAAATCCGATTGAGAACCTCTGGTGGGACTTAAAGAAAGCAGTTGCAGTGCGCAAGCCTAAGAATGTGACTGAACTGGAGGCCTTTGCCCATGAAGAATGGGCGAAGATACCCGTAGATCGCTGCAAGACACTTGTGTCAAGCTATGCTTCACGTTTAAAAGCTGTTATAACTGTAAAAGGATGCTGTACTAAGTACTAAGATTGAATGTCACTTGGGGGTTGAATAAAACTGATAATGCTGTGAGCACAGAAAAGACATTTGTGGTTATTTCATTATAACTGTTATGTTATATTTGTCTGACCTACAAGTGCCTCTTTAATGTAAATGTAAGCAAGATGACTGAATGATCAAAAGCAATGTCAAACTGGCCAAAAACACTCAATTTCAGTGGGGGTTGAATAATTTTGGTCACAACTGTATATAGGATCGCCAACACTCAACACAACACTACCTGGGTGTCCAAAAAATCATAAATATATAATGTGTTGCGCTCCCAGTGACAATATCTTTGATGTATATATCTAATTAACCTTGCTATACAAATAATTTTCAGGTATTAAAAAATATGCAAAATCAAACTATGTGAGTGATTTGAAAAAATATAAACCACTATAATATATATATAAATCAGATAATAATAACCGCAAAACCAATAAATAGTGCATAGTGAACTAAAATATATAACAGAAAAAATACACATCATGAATAGTGAATTACTCAAAAAATTATATATATACTGCCAAATAATTGTGATATAAATGTCCTTTAAATGCAGTGACTTTGTGCTTGAATAAATCTTGATTTGGTGACTTTTTGTGAATTTGTGACTTTCTTTGAATCCTCAATTGGTAAAGATGTATGCTCACCTCCTTGTTAGCCTGCAATTAGGCTATACACACTTGTGGTTCACCTCCTATGGAACCTGCTTAGATGGAATTCCTCTTTTGTGAATGGTAAGAACGTGGATATGCGTTATCCTCAGATTGCCCATGTGCGTTTTTCCATATGTGGGAACAAATTGCCAGACATGGTGTTTTATCCTTATAAAAAGGTTTCTCCTTTATTGCTTGCCAACAGGTACACTCACATATGTGATATGCGGTCTAGGATGAATTGCTCAGCTCTAATGATCCGCCAGCCGTTCTGCCATGCACCCGCCGTCTGTCCGATACTCCAGCTCTCTCCGAGTGACACCGCAGCCCCACCCCTACGCGTTACGCCACTGGTCACGTGGCTTCATCAGGGGGTTGTGATAGCTATCACAACCCCCTGATGAAGCCACGTGACCAGTGGCGTAACGCGTAGGGGTGGGGCTGCGGTGTCACTCGGAGAGAGCTGGAGTATCGGACAGACGGCGGGTGCATGGCAGAACGGCTGGCGGATCATTAGAGCTGAGCAATTCATCCTAGACCGCATATCACATATGTGAGTGTACCTGTTGGCAAGCAATAAAGGAGAAACCTTTTTATAAGGATAAAACACCATGTCTGGCAATTTGTTCCCACATATGGAAAAACGCACATGGGCAATCTGAGGATAACGCATATCCACGTTCTTACCATTCACAAAAGAGGAATTCCATCTAAGCAGGTTCCATAGGAGGTGAACCACAAGTGTGTATAGCCTAATTGCAGGCTAACAAGGAGGTGAGCATACATCTTTACCAATTGAGGATTCAAAGAAAGTCACAAATTCACAAAAAGTCACCAAATCAAGATTTATTCAAGCACAAAGTCACTGCATTTAAAGGACATTTATATCACAATTATTTGGCAGTATATATATAATTTTTTGAGTAATTCACTATTCATGATGTGTATTTTTTTCTGTTATATATTTTAGTTCACTATGCACTATTTATTGGTTTTGCGGTTATTATTATCTGATTTATATATATTATAGTGGTTTATATTTTTTTTCAAATCACTCACATAGTTTGATTTTGCATATTTTTTAATACCTGAAAATTATTTGTATAGCAAGGTTAATTAGATATATACATCAAAGATATTGTCACTGGGAGCGCAACACATTATATATTTATATAGCTGTACCTACAAAGTTCCACTTTAAGCCACAGAACAGATGAATTATGCCACACTGCACTCGTCTGTCTATGGCAAGCTATACTCTATCTACAACTTCGCCAACTGGACTCACCAGGGCAGCCAGAAAACACTGTAAATGGGGGCACCACGGTTTCGGGGGGCAAAACGGTGTTATCCAAAATCTTGCAGCAATCCTTTAAGACGCATCTTCGGCCCTGAAACAAAGCAGACAATTACAAACCTGCTATAAAGGAAGGAAAGAAAACGCAAAAGAATGGGCTCCATCTCCAACATGTGACACTTACAATGACACAGTTCTTGCCTATGTGTACATAGGATCCGATCTGGGCTGCATTCACCACACAGTCCTCTTCTATGAAGACATGGTCCCCAATGTGTAACGGGAAAAAACGCCACTCTGTCATAAGCAAAAGGCAGTCACTGAGGTGGCAAAATAAAAACTATTATAGGAAACCTGCTATAAATACAAAATGGACACACAAAATTTGTTTTAGAAAAAATGTGGAACAGCTTTTTTTTTTTACCTCCCTGGCGGTATTCCCGAGTGTAGCTTGGGGTAAAATGTCAGTACCAAAAGCGGTAACCCCCGAGCTACACTCGGGCTTACCATGCGGCGTTGCTCTCGAATTCCTTGCAGCGCTTACCTTGTCCGTCGCTCCCGCGATGCGTCCCCGGCCATCCCCTCCGGCCGATGCCAGCATCCAGCTTCTGTGTTCCGGACCCTGCGAGCATCGGAGCGTATGGGGGCCGGAAACCGGCGGCAAATTTAAAAATTTTAGAAAACTGTCATTTTCTAATAAACAAATATGACGACATGGTATAACATTACTGTTTTAAACCATTTCACATACATTTTGTCCCGAGTGCTTTGTCCTGTGCCCTGCCTGCATACTTAGAAAAGTCCATGGCGTCCAAAAAGCGTCCCTTTAGGTCAAAAGCGGTTTTAGACCGGCTAGAGAACAGCGATAGTAAATTAGAACCACTTGCAGAATTGAGTGATAATGATTCGTGGGGGAAATTCGTCATTAGACACTGAAAACGATTCTTCGACTTTGCTCGGTGATGTGCGAACTTGGCGCTATATTTCAAATTTCAGTGTTTTTGGTTTGATTATATTATTGGATTAAATTTATTATATTATTTTTTATGATTATTTATTAAATTATAATTTATGATTTCGTGTTTCAAGTTTTATTACTAGACTCTTGTTCGGACAGATTTCAGTGAGTTATTCCTAAAAATTACAGGCCTACAATAAAAAAAGAAAAACACATATTTCCATGCAAAAAAATGTGCCGCTTTCAGCACAGAAATATGGACATAATCATACCGTTAGGGAGGTTAAAAAAAAGATGCATGGAGTTTTTTTTTTTTTTCTCCAAAATCATACTTACCTAGGTGGATGTAACATCGATCTGATGCTGCATCTTTCCCCTGCCGGCTGTAAGGGTGAGAACTGAGTGATCAAACGCAGCTGATTGCTCAGGTCTCTCTGCCACTCCGAGAGCAGCGACTGTCAGTCCAGTCACCACTGTCTGCTCTGCCAGCCACCCCCCAGCACTCACTGAAGCGCTGGGCTATGGAGTGGGAGGGAGCAGCTGGGTCAGGCTCTCAGCGGATTGCTGATCGGCTAAGTCATATGCCAGTCCAGGCCAGGCTCCTGGGTGGATCCCGATTATATAGTCAAGATCTTTCCCCAGCCTGGACCGGCTGAATGACGTCAGCCGACAGCAGACTTTAGCCAGCGGTCGGATGAAAATGGGTCACAGGAGTGCAGAATGAACTGCACTCGTGCGACCCACGGGAGAAGTACAGCCAAACGAGCTGTTTACAGAGAACAGGATACTTTTTCCTACAAGTACATGGTACAGCAGGCACATAGATGTTGGGATTACATACTCTTTGATTACATCATGTTAACACCTTCCCACCCGGCCTATAGCAGATTGACGGCCGGGCGGGACACTCGTCATTGTGACTGGGCGTCATATGATGTCCTGTCAAAACGAGCCACGCAGCGGCGCGATCTGTCACCGGCTGTGTCCACGGGACACAGCCGATGACATATCGCTACACTGGCCCGTTGCCAGTGTCATGTGACTGCTGTAACCAATCACAGCAGATCACATGTCAATTGTATACAATGGATGGCTTCTTGTCATGCCATCCATTGTATACAATGATGTTGTTAGCTGTGACTGGTCAAGACAGTCACATGATACAGACAGGGCCAATCACAGCCCATCTCTATCATGTGATCAGCTTTGCCCAATCACAGCTAATCACAACAAAAGACTGAATGAATCAGTATAATTCAGTAACAATGATTGCAAATATCAAATACATCGGTATTAGCAATCATAATCTGTTTAAAAAAAAAAAAATCCCGATCACTTGCCCAGAGTAGTTCAATGTTACTATGGTAACATTGTATTGCTTTGGTCACAGTGTGCTGCAAAATAAAATAGTAGAAAAAAAAAATTTAATGAAAAAAAAAAAAAATAGAAACATTTGAAAACAAAAATACATATTCAATTATTATTATTATTTGCACCAAAGAAATGTAGCAGAATACATTTTGACCTAAATTTATGAAGAAATTGTATTTATTTCCAAAATTTTAAAACAGAAACGAAGAAAAGTGCGTTTTTTTTTTTCAAACGTTTCAGGTGTTTTTTGTTTAATTTAGCAAAGAATAAAAAACTCAGTGGTGATTAAATACCAACAAAAGAAAGCTCTATTTGTGTGAAAAAAAATAAAATAAAAATGTCATATGGGTACAGTGTTGCATGACTGCGCAATTGCCATTCAAAGTGCGACAGCACTGAAAGCTGAAAATTGGCCTGAGCAGGAAGGGGGTATAAGTGCCCGTTATTGAAGTGGTTAATATTATGTAGCATTTTGTCCAGACAGCAGGTGGAGCTCTAGTCGCCATTTCACATGTGTATCATTATGTCACTCTCAGCTGTGCTGATAAAATCTCCTTGTCTACAAAATCCATAAGTCATCAGAACAGATGACTCCTCCCTTATTAAATGCCTGGTTCTGAAGTCTCAGTCAAGCAAGCATAGCCTGAAAGCAGAGCAGTCTCAGGGAACCTGTCAACATGTATTATTTATATCTTTACAAAACAAATTTAAAGCTGAACTCTAGTCACATAAAATACAGGTAGTCTGTGTGCCCCCCTCCCAACATGGGGCTGTAAAGCAGTTCATATTGACCTCGTTCCCGTAGCCTTCCTCCCAGCTGTAAGACCTGTCTTGTGAAGCCGCTCCTCTTTGCCTGTCATGCGGTCTCCTGCTGTCCCCAATGTCAATGAAGGAGCGGTATGAGAGGACATAGGGGACCTACCCACATTTTGGGAGTTGAGTAAAGCGCCCGCTGTTGGAGGAGTGAGGAATAAGGCGAGTATTCCTCCACTTGAAACCTCCCCTAGACGAAATGGGCATTTAAACCTTGCTATCTGCAAAGGGCCAGGATACAAACTACAAACCTATGACTAAACTGAAGTTCTTCTTTAAAAACTAAAATAAATAAACTTGGCTCAAAACCATACAAATTTCAAATCAAAACTAATGTGCAGGGGTGGACTGACCACTGGGGAACTTGGGCACTGTCCGAGGGCCCGGGGTCAGTAGGGGGCCCCATGAGATGTCCCTGGTACCTTTCATAGGCTTTTTTGGGTGTGGTTCAAATGTGGGCAAGGACACAGGGGCCCCATGATACCCTATTGCCCGTGGGCCCCATAAGTTGCCAGTCCGCCCCTGCTAATGTGTATCTAATAGTTTTTATCACTTCAATGCCTATGAAACTGTGTCTCATAAATGCTGAGTTTCTCTGGTTCAGTCTTTATAGAAATGATTGGTACTGCAAAAATCACTGTGGACCTTCATATCACTTACAGGATGACAAAGGATGGGCTTCTAGATGGGACTTGGTCACCTACCCTCCAGGCCACGTTTAGTCCACCTGTATAATTATTTCTCTTTCACAAAAGCGCCCATTATTTTATACAGACAAATGAATTTGTGCCTTCAATGGTTTTATATGTTTGTGTTAATTTACAGCCAAAACGTGCCAGGTCTCTGAATGATATGGAGGAACCTGAGCTCTGCACCACACTCATTGTTAGTACATAAATGGAACACGCTGAATAGCGGACATCAATATCTCCAATTATAGTAATTTAGGACACTAATAATATCAGCATGGAACGTGACTAGGACAGCACGGGTACCGGAGTGTCTGGCAACACAAATCATTAACATATACTAAAGCCCAATTTCTGTATAATAAAAGACCTTGTTTTTATAATGAAAGAAGACTTTTTTGTGCAAAGGAAAAACATTTTTGGGATACTTTTAGGCAGATTTTATAAAAATATGGAGCACGATTTCTAAAAACTATGGAAAGCGCAGGGGTGTGGAAAGGTTTAAAAAAATCACTTGTCCAAGGGACTAAATCGGGTCCCATTCCACTTGTCCTGATGAAAAAATAAATAAATAAAAAATACCAGGATGGAAAAATACACTGTGTGCACAATTATTAGGCAAGTTGTATTTTTAATTAATTTCATTATTGAACAACTACAGTGCTCTCAGGCAATCCAAAATATTAATTATATTATTATTATTATACAGGATTTATATTGCATCAATAGTTTACTCAGTGCTTTACAATATAAATGATAAAACTCAAACCTCAATATTTAAGAAAGTAGAAGGGAGGTTTTGGCTAGAGATGAGCGAATCGAACCAGGCGAAGTGGAATTCGATTCGAATTTCAGGAAAAATTCGATTCGCGTCGAATCCGAACATTAGCCTACTTCGGGTGCGCGAATCGGATTTTTCCCGATCAGCCGGCAAAAGTGTCCCTGCAGAGAGCTCCGCTATTTCTGACAGTTCTCTGACAGTTCCTTCACATGTACAGCGGTTGAAACATTGTATCTATTTGTTTCCATTTAGGATACAGATGTTTTTATTCGGAAACAGATACAATGTTTCAACCGCTGTAAATGTGAAAGTCAGAGAACTGTCAGAAATAGAGGAACTCTGCAGATACACTTTTTGCCGGTTTGGAATTATTCTTATTTTCATCCTACTTCTTCTTCTTCTTCTTCTTCATCCTCATCCTCAGAAGAAGAAGAAGAGGATGAGGATGAAGAAGAAGAAGAAGAAGAAGAAGTAGGATGAAAATAAGAAGAATTCCAAGCCGGCAAAAAGTGTATCTGCAGAGCTCGATGAAGAAGAAGTAGGATGAAAATAAGAAGAATTCCAAGCCGGCAAAAAGTGTATCTGCAGAGCTCCTAAGTGTATTCTGCAGAATAGAGGAGCTCTGCAGTTACACTTTTTGCCGGCTTGGAATTCTTCTTATTTTCATCCTACTTCTTCTTCTTCTTCTCTTCATCTTCATCCTCATCCTCTTCTTCTTCTGAGAAGATGAGGATGAAGAAGAAGAAGAAGTAGGATGAAAATAAGAAGAATTCCAAGCCGGCAAAAAGTGTATCTGCAGAGCTCCTCTTTTCTGAAGAGGATGAGGATGAGGATGAAGAAGAAGTAGGATGAAAATAAGAAGAATTCCAAGACGGCAAAAAGTGTATCTGCAGAGCTCCGCTAAGTGTATCTGCAGAGCTCCGCTATTTCTGACAGTTCTGTGACATTCCCTCCATACAGCGGTTGAAACATTGTATCTATTTGTTTCCATTTATGGAAACAAATAAACATTGTATCTATTTGTTTCCTCCATAAATGGAAACAAATAGATACTCTCCTTCTCATCCTTCTCCTTCTCATCCTTCTCCTTCTCATCCTTCTCCTTCTTCTCATCCTTCTCCTTCTTCTCATCCTTCTCCTTCTTCTCATCCTTCTCCTTCTTCTCATCCTTCTCCTTCTTCTCATCCTTCTTCTCATCCTTCTCCTTCTTCTCATCCTTCTCCTTCTTCTCATCCTTCTTCTCATCCTTCTTCTCATCCTTCTCCTTCTTCTCATCCTTCTCCTTCTTCTCATCCTTCTCCTTCTCCTTCTTATCATCCTTCTCCTTCTTCTCATCCTTCTCCTTCTTCTCATCCTTCTCCTTCTCCTTCTCATCCTTCTCCTTCTTCTCATCCTTCTCCTTCTCCTTCTTCTCATCCTTCTCCTTCTTCTCATCCTTCTCCTTCTTCTCATCCTTCTCCTTCTTCTCATCCTTCTCCTTCTCCTTGTCCTTCCTCATCTCCAAGGGCATTTAAATTAAAGGTACAGTGTTCTGCACTAATTTAAAGGCTCTCTGAAGCCTAGAAACCCTTTTAATAAGTTAAATTCGTAGCGAATTAATTCGCATCGAATCGAATTTCTTCCTCAAATTCGGCGAATCAGCCGAATCGAATTTTTGAATAATTCGCTCATCTCTAGTTTTGGCTTTCTTTGGATAATATCTATGTGTGCACAATTATTATGCAACTAAATAAAAAAATGAAAATTTTTCCATCTTAATTGTTTATTTTCATCCGTTAAAGTGAAAATAATAAACAACTCAAAATTTACAAATAAGCATTTCTGATATTTAATAAAAAAAAACAAAAAAACAACAGTGACCATTATAGTCACCCTTCTTTTTAATAACAGTCATAAGGCTTTCATTCATGGAGTGTCAGTTTCTTGATTTGTTGACAATCAACCTTTTGTGCAGCAGCAACCACAGCCTCTCAGACACTGTTCAGCAGGGTGGATAAAAATCAATGATTTAAAAAAAAATAAATAAAAAAAATCGATTTTTTTTTTTATTTAAATCGGATTTTTTTGAATAAAATTGGATTTTTTGGAATAAAATCGGATTTTTTGGAATAAAATTGGATTTTTTTGGAATAAAATGCTTTTTGAGGAAAATATATTACCATCCAAAGGTTATTCCATCATGAAATAAAGATTAGTTTTTTAATTATGTAGAATAAGGCTGTATATGTTTAATTTTTTTGGTAAATAAATTCCATGAATCCATTCACAATGTCATGCTCTTCCAGAGGTTTCTGTAAGATTATTGGGCAGTTTCTCTGCCTACAAGATATTATCACAGATGATTGGTTTACTTTTGCAGTTCTCAAAACTGAATTTGACTCAGCGGAGATCACATGCCTCTTCTTCACAGCAAAAATGTTATAACATGAACAGAGTTAAGAAAAAGACCTTCATCCTAACTTCTACAAACCTATGAATACAGAATCAACCCCTTCAGTGCTAAGTTTCAAGAAGTTCAGTGAATAGAATAGAAACAATATTTTTCTGATTGTTTGGAGTGGAATAGATCTGCACAAGAAGAAAGTGAAACTAAGTGTGAGGAGGAAGGGGCTGACAGTCTAAGTTTCTTAAAATATATATATTTTGTTTTAGCCAAATTAGTTAACAAACATGGATGTTTAAGCAAATCACATATGCTGGAATGTTATTGTTTCAGTTGAATAAATCTATTTAAATTGTTATTATTAAGGTAATGATTATTTTTCTCCTTCCTAAGTACAACAGAAAAGTTGTCCAAATATGAATGATTAACCTATTAAACTGGGGATAAAAAAACTAATATGAAAAGTTGTTATTCTAAAAATCTTCATCTACTTGCATATTAAAGTTATACCAGCAAGAATTAGTCTTTATGTAGAAAACTAGGATTTAAATCAAGCCTTACTGACTAGTGATTTAAATCAGTTTGATTTAAATCAAATCCACCCTGCTGTTCAGAGAGGTGAACTGTTTTCCTTCCTCGTAAATCTCCCGTTTAAGTTCTCCCACAAGTTCTCAATCGGGTTTAGGTCAGGTGAGGAAAGGGGCCATGTCATTATTCTTTTATCTTTAAGGCCTTTACTGGCTAGCCACGCTGTGGAGTACTTCGATGAATGCGATGGATCATTGTCCTGCAGAAATATGATGGTCTTCTTGAAAGATGCCGACTTTTTCCTGTACCACTGCCTGAAGAAATTGTCATCTAAAAACTAACAGCAGGTTTGTGGAGTTGTTGGGTGGTTGTTTTACAGGAGTACAATATGATGACACTTGAACAAAAATGAGCTGCATGGTCAAGGTGCCAGAAAGAAGCCTTTGCTGCATCAATGACACAAGAAGGCCCGGTTAGGCATGTCAAGGTGTTGTCAGGCATATTGTAGCCGGGCTTTTTTGTGACATTGGTGCAGTAAAAGCTTCTTTCTGGCACCTCGATCAAACAGCTCATTTTTGTTCAAGTATCACCATATTGTACTCCTTAAAAACAATCACACCATCTTTTTCCAGAGCAGCCTGTATTTCTTTTGAGGTTGCCTGTGGGTTTTTCTTTGAATCCCAAACAATTCTTCTGGCAGTTAAAGGCTGCAATCTTTCTTGGTCTACCGGACCTTGGCTTGGTATCAAGAGATCCCCGAACTTTCCACTTCTTAATAGGTGGTTTAACAGTACTGATTGGTATATTCAAGGCTTTGGACATCTTTTTATGTCATTTTTCCATCTTTATAAATTTTAATTACCTTGTTATGCAGGACTTTTGACAGTTCTTTTCTGATCCCCATGGCTCAGTATCTAGCCTAGTCAGTGCTTCCACGTAAGAGCTAACAAACTCATTGACTATTTATACACTGACACTAATTGCAATTTAAAAAGCCACAGCTGTGGGACATTAACCTCTAATTGGCATTTTAACCCGTGTGTGTCCCCTTGTGTGTCTGTACCAAGGCCAAACATTCCAGGGGAGGGAAACTTTTGATCCGGGCCATTTGGGTGATTTCTGTTATCATTATGACTTAAAAAGGAGCCAAACAACTATTTGATAATAAATGGCTTCATATGATCATCATCCTTCAATAAAAGAGCATTTTTTGGCATGATCAGTCATATTTTCAATATCAATACCAAAATTCCACAATTTCTGCCGGGGTATGCAAACTTTTGAGCACAACTGTATACTGAACATGAATGGACTAAACGGTTTATAAAACTTGTAAAATTTGCGGCGGTTCTGTGGAGAGTATCCAACAAATCAAATGCTGGGACTCACCCTTTGCTGAATTTTTTGAATGGTGGTCTAATCACACTTCGACTTTTGATGACACAGTGTCGGCCGACTCGAACATTGGCCAGGTCCCCCCGGATAATACAATCATTCATAACTATTGTCTGCAAGAGGAAAATGAAAAGCAAAATGCAATGAATTATATTTATGAACATGAAGGTACATGACATGCAGCTTTTTTTCAACAAGAGAATTGATTCTTAAAGTGGTTGTAAAGACCAAAAAGTTTTTTTTATTAACTTAATGCATTCAATGCTGGGCTATATATTTCTATAGATGCACACAGCCCTGCTCAGGTTCAAGCCGCTTGCTACAGGGGAACATGGAAAAGAGGAAGAGCCAAGAGCGCTGCTGAGGGACCCCAGAAGAAGGCGGCTCAGGGTCACTCTATGCAAAACCATTTCACAGAGCAGGTAAGTATAACCTGTTAATTATTAACCCTTTCCCAACGCCGCCTCATGGTCTCATAAATGGATGAAAATTTTGGGAGGCAGACAATCTGATCATGTGACTGGATGTCGCAGCAGTCACATGATCGAAAACTGCGATTGCAAGTATGCATCGGGAGCTTTCTGTGACAATTTAGTTGCTGTGCTGGAAGCACTCTCTCCACATAGTAGACTGTTTACATATAGATGCATATATGCGGCAGATTGGCATTAAAGCCCACCCTATGGGAAGAGGTTTAGAAAAAAAAAAAAAGGCTTTGCAAACCCTTTATTTTAATCAGTTATTTTTTATTACATTTTTTTAAAGGTTTTCTTTTTTGCAAAGAACAAAGCAATCAAAACATTACAATCACTTTAAAGCGGAAGTAAAGTACTAGAAAGAAAGACAACATTTTGGCACTTTCTGACATATTGTACAAGTATGCACGGCACAACTGCATATCATGGCACACTTACCTAGCAAAGCAATACTCTCCAGTGCTGTGATGGCCACACTGCCCTCCATCGTCGATGCTTTCATCTTCACCAGACCTTCTATTGGGTTCCACGTCTTCAGCCACCTTGATTAGCTGGGCTTGGATGACGTAACTGCCGTGCGTGAGTTACTTCATCTCAACACAACACATGCTGTGACTGTACATGGAGCTGCACATGCGCGGCTTAGTGTACACTCAGAAAGTAGAAACACAGAGAGGCAGGGGGAGTATTTATCACAGAAGGAACACACACAGTTCCTTCTGTCATAAAAAGCTTCAGAATTATCTCTGCAATACAAGAACATTTCCACGTGTCTTTAAAACCTGTTGATCCTGTCAGAAATCCATTGGGCTCCTAACTTCCAGTATTAAGTGGACAACACTGCCTTTGCTGCGCTGCTAGCCCTGCCTCTGCTGCGCTGCTAGCCCTGCCGCTGCTGCGCTGCTAGCCCTGCCGCTGCTGCGCTGCTAGCCCTGCCGCTGCTAGCCCTGCCTCTAATGCGCGGCTAGCCCTGCCTCTGCTGCGCGGCTAGACCTGCCTCTGCTGCGCGGCTAGACCTGCCTCTGCTGCGCGGCTAGACCTGCCTCTGCTGCGCGGCTAGACCTGCCTCTGCTGCGCGGCTAGACCTGCCTCTGCTGCGCGGCTAGCCCTGCCTCTGCTGCGCGGCTAGCCCTGCCTCTGCTGCGCGGCTAGCCCTGCCTCTGCTGAGCGGCTAGCCCTGCCTCTGCTGAGCGGCTAGCCCTGCCTCTGCTGCGCGGCTAGCCCTGCCTCTGCTGCGCGGCTAGCCCTGCCTCTGCTGCGCGGCTAGCCCTGCCTCTGCTGCGCGGCTAGACCTGCCTCTGCTGCGCGGCTAGACCTGCCTCTGCTGCGAGGCTAGACCTGCCTCTGCTGCGCGGCTAGACCTGCCTCTGCTGCGCGGCTAGCCCTGCCTCTGCTGCGCGGCTAGCCCTGCCTCTGCTGCGCGGCTAGCCCTGCCTCTGCTGCGCGGCTAGCCCTGCCTCTGCTGAGCGGCTAGCCCTGCCTCTGCTGAGCGGCTAGCCCTGCCTCTGCTGCGCGGCTAGCCCTGCCTCTGCTGCGCGGCTAGCCCTGCCTCTGCTGCGCGGCTAGCCCTGCCTCTGCTGCGCGGCTAGCCCTGCCTCTGCTGCGCGGCTAGCCCTGCCTCTGCTGCGCGGCTAGCCCTGCCTCTGCTGCGCGGCTAGCCCTGCCTCTGCTGCGCGGCTAGCCCTGCCTCTGCTGAGCGTCTAGACCTGCCTCTGCTGCGCGGCTAGCCCTGCCTCTGCTGAGCGGCTAGCCCTGCCTCTGCTGAGCGGCTAGCCCTGCCTCTGCTGAGCGGCTAGCCCTGCCTCTGCTGAGCGGCTAGCCCTGCCTCTGCTGAGCTATTCAAACTATGGAGATGAGAAAGGTGGGTTGTGTCCTATGGTCCAGCAGAGAAGCCAACATTTCTTGGGGATTTTGAGGCAGCACTGTCAGCTCACTACAGGAAGTTAGAAGCTCACTGGAACCAGCTGCCTGGCTATTCCTCTGACCACAGAATTTTAATACTTTTCAAGTCACGGACCCAGAGCAAGTATGAAACTACAGCCAAAACTCCTTATCAGCATATTCTTTTCAGATCAATATTGAGATATTAGGTCTCTGTCAGGCGGAAGTTGGGGAGTGGTAAAAACTGGCAGCTGAGCCATTGTTTTACTGTCCACCTGAACTGCAAAATAACAGCTGGATGTGGCTGTTCACACGCCATAACCACGCTGCTTTACTTCACTTCGTTTTTACTTGGGGGTCAGAGTTTGACAAGCAGCACCACTTGTTAAACTTGCCCGTAGAGTTCAATGGGGCCAGCCATGATAGTTTGGCATTATAGGGTTAAATCAGGCAGTGATGAGGTAATAGAACGCCTCCTTACCACCTGTCAAGCACTCTTTAATAGCGTTCTGAACGTGGATCGCTCTTCAAAGGGCACCACACTCCACCGCGAGTATGAAAGAGCACTTAAAATTGTAGAGTTAGTATGACAGCCGGGTGACTAGCATTTGCAAAATGAGAAATCGGCAACGTCATGCTTTAGGAAAGCCTGTGTATGTGTGCAGTCTGGGAGCAGCGGATGAGGTCAGGATCCCCCTCTGTTAAATAGAACCGAAGCAGAGCTGCACTGACGCACTTTATAGGTTCCACAGAAGCCTCCTGTAAGCACACCTGCTGTGTACACTGAATGCATGCCAATATCAGTGACTAGAACTGCAAAACACATCCATCATTTGTGTACACAGTAGGTGAGCTGAAAGAAGTTTCATTTAGCCCGGGTTCACACTGATGCAGTACGGAATTCGCAGCGTTTTCAGTGCGAATTCCGCACCGCATCACAATCGCACCCCGTTCATACAAACCGATGCGGGTGTGTATATTAAGTTAACAACACCCTGACATCGGTCCGCAAAACGCAGAATTGGATCGCATAGGTGTGAATACCCATGCCATCCGATTCTAGTGCGGACCAAAAAAGGGCCCTGAATGTTTTTGTTTTTGATGCGGGTGTGGTATGAATAGAGCCATACAAAATGTACGGCTCTAATTGCACTGCATACAAATCGCATGTGATTTGTAGAGGAATGCGGTGCGGTCCCTGTGCGAATCACATGAGATTGACCGCACCTCTGTGTCGTGAACCTAGGCTTAAAGTGTGTCTAGAAAAGAAAGAAAAAAAAATATTGCAGCTTACCAGTCCTTAAATATGTTGGCTGCATTAGTTCTCTTTTTTTAAGGCTAATTTCCCTTTTATTTTTACCTGATGATCCTGCCAGTAACATACTTCCTGTCCTAGGTGACAGGGCTCACTGTAATGGGCAGCTAAATGGTTAGCACTTCCGCCTGGCAGTACTAAGGTCGTTGGTTCAAATCCCAACAACAGCACCACCTGCCTGGAGTTTGCATGTTCTCCCTTTGCCTGTGTGGGTTTCCTCCGGGTACTCCGGTTTCCTCCCACACTCCAAAGACATGCTGGTAGGTTAATTGGCTCCTGTCTAAATTGGCCCTAATATGTGTATGTATGAATGTGAGTTAGGGACCTTAGATTGTACGCTCCTTAAGGGTTAGGGACTCTGGTAGGAATGTATAATATATATACCGTATTTGCTGGCGTATAAGACGACCCCCTACTTTTCCTGTTAAAATATAGAGTTTGAGCTATACTCGCCGTATAAGACTACCCCTCTTCCAACACGCCCCATCATTGGTATCAGTGGGAGGAATAGTGCCCCATCATTGGTATCAGTGGGAGGAATAGTGCCCCATCATTGGTGTCAGTGGGGAGGAGGAATAGTGCCCCATCGTTGGTGTCAGTGGGGAGGAGGAATAGTGCCCCATCATTGGTGTCAGTGGGGGAGGAATAGTGCCCCATCATTGGTGTCAGTGGGGGAGGAATAGTGCCCCATCATTGGTATCAGTGGGGAGAAAAGTGCCCCATCATTGGTGTCAGTGGGGAGGAGGAATAGTGCCCCATCATTGGTGTCAGTGGGGAGGAGGAATAGTGCCCCATCGTTGGTGTCAGTGGGGAGGAGGAATAGTGCCCCATCGTTGGTGTCAGTGGGGAGGAGGAATAGTGCCCCATCATTGGTGTCAGTGGGGGAGGAACAGTACCTCATCGTTGGTGTCAGTGTGGAGGAGGAATAGTGCCCCATCGTTGGTGTCCGTGTGGAGGAGGAATAGTGCCCCATCGTTGGTGTCAGTGGGGGAGGAACAGTACCTCATCGTTGGTGTCAGTGTGGAGGAGGAATAGTGCCCCATCGTTAGTGTCAGTGGGGGAGAGGAGCGGCTGCTCCTTCTTTCAGTTCGGCCGCTTGATTTTCGCGGGGCGGTTCGGCTCCGCCTCCTCGCCGGTGATTGGTCGTCTGTGTGCCTTTCCAGTGCTGGCGCCCAATCACCGGTGAGGAGGCGGAGCCGAGCGGGCGGTGGGACCATTGAGCGGCCGAACTGAAAGAAGGAGCAGCCGCGCTTCCTGGACCGGATCGTCGTGGGACCGGAGCCAGGTAAGGTACAGCAGCCCCTCTGCCCACCCCTGTACTTGGTGTCCGTTGGAGGAGGAGGGGGGGCGGCGCCGCCCCTCGAAAAAGTGCCGCCCTGACACCGGCTCGCCGTATACCGGCGTATAAGACGACCCCCGACTTTTCAAAAGATTTTCACGG